CCACCCACACTCCTCTCCACCCACACGCCTCTCCACCCACACTCCTCTCCACGCACACTCCTCGCCACCCACACGCCTCGCCACCCACACTCCTCTCCACCCACACTCCTCTCCACCCACACTCCTATCTACCCACACTCCTCGCCACCCACACGCCTCGCCACCCACACTCCTCTCCACCCACACTCCTCTCCACCCACACTCCTATCTACCCACACTCCTCGCCACCCACACGCCTCTCCACCCACACTCCTCTCCACCCACACTCCTCGCCACCCACACGCCTCTCCACCCACACTCCTCTCCACCCACACTCCTCTCCACCCACACTCCTCTCCACCCACACTCCTCGCCACCCACACGCCTCTCCACCCACACTCCTCTCCACCCACACTCCTCGCCACCCACACGCCTCTCCACCCACACTCCTCTCCACCCACACTCCTCTCCACCCACACGCCTCTCCACCCACACTCCTCTCCACCCACACTCCTATCTACCCACACTCCTCGCCACCCACACGCCTCTCCACCCACACTCCTCTCCACCCACACTCCTCTCCACCCACACTCCTATCCACCCACACGCCTCTCCACCCACACTCCTCTCCACCCACACTCCTCTCCACCCACACTCCTCGCCACCCACACGCCTCTCCACCCACACTCCTCTCCACCCACACTCCTCTCCACCCACACGCCTCTCCACCCACACTCCTCTCCACCCACACGCCTTGCCACCCACACGCCTCTCCACCCACACTCCACTCCACCCACACTCCTCTCCACCCACACTCCTCTCCACCCACACTCCTCGCCACCCACACGCCTCTCCACCCACACTCCTCTCCACCCACACTCCTCTCCACCCACACGCCTCTCCACCCACACTCCTCTCCACCCACACGCCTCTCCACCCACACTCCTCTCCACCCACACTCCTCGCCACCCACACGCCTCTCCACCCACACGCCTCTCCACCCACACTCCTCTCCACCCACACTCCTCTCCACCCACACGCCTCTCCACCCACACTCCTCTCCACCCACACGCCTCTCCACCCACACGCCTCACCACCCACACTCCTCTCCACCCACACTCCTCGCCACCCACACGCCTCTCCACCCACACGCCTCTCCACCCACACTCCTCTCCACCCACACTCCTCTCCACCCACACGCCTCTCCACCCACACTCCTCTCCACCCACACGCCTCTCCACCCACACGCCTCACCACCCACACTCCTCTCCACGCACACTCCTCGCCACCCACACGCCTCGCCACCCACACTCCTCTCCACCCACACTCCTCTCCACCCACACTCCTATCTACCCGCACTCCTCGCCACCCACACGCCTCTCCACCCACACTCCTCTCCACCCACACTCCTCGCCACCCACACGCCTCTCCACCCACACTCCTCTCCACCCACACTCCTCGCCACCCACACGCCTCTCCACCCACACTCCTCTCCACCCACACTCCTCGCCACCCACACGCCTCTCCACCCACACTCCTCTCCACCCACACTCCTCTCCACCCACACGCCTCTCCACCCACACTCCTCTCCACCCACACTCCTATCTACCCACACTCCTCGCCACCCACACGCCTCTCCACCCACACTCCTCTCCACCCACACTCCTCTCCACCCACACTCCTCTCCACCCACACGCCTCTCCACCCACACTCCTCTCCACCCACACGCCTCTCCACCCACACGCCTCACCACCCACACTCCTCTCCACGCACACTCCTCGCCACCCACACGCCTCGCCACCCACACGCCTCTCCACCCACACGCCTCTCCACCCACACTCCTCTCCACCCACACTCCTCTCCACCCACACGCCTCTCCACCCACACGCCTCTCCACCCACACGCCTCTCCACCCACACGCCTCTCCACCCACCTCCTCTCCACCCACACTCCTATCCACCCACACGCCTCTCCACCCACACGCCTCTCCACCCACACTCCTATCCACCCACACGCCTCTCCACCCACACTCCTCTCCACCCACACTCCTCTCCACCCACACTCCTCTCCACCCACACGCCTTGCCACCCACGTGATTCATGGGCCATCCACGGCTGGGTCAGTGCATCCCCCCACCCCCAAAGGCCGCCGGGCCGCCGCTACCATTTCACGATCCCGAGATTATATTACTAATCATCATCATCGATCATCGATCATCATCAATCATAGTCATCATCCACCGAGCGAGCATCTTGCACGTGGGTTGATTCAGCACTCCACCTCCTCCATCTCCTCCTCCACCTTCTCATCCACCACCTCCTCCACCACCTCCTCCACCACCACCTCCACCACCTCCACCTCCTCCACCACCTCCTTTACCTCCTCCACCTCCTCCTCCACCACCTCCTTTACCTCCTCCACCTCCTCCACCTCCTCCTCCACCACCTTCTCCACCACCTCCTCCACCACCACCACCTCCACCACCTCCTCCACCTTCTCCTCCACCACCACCTCCTCCTCAACGTCAGTGGACGCCCAATGACTTCGCCTTCCATATCCTTGGCTACCACCCCAGCGGCATTCTGGATCATCGGCAGGGAATCGAAGTCATTCATTCCCGCGCGCGTGTTCTCTTAATCCACGCGATCCGACACCCGTTTAACACGTGGGCTTTCGCGACCAACACGTATCATTCGTATCATTATTAATTTCGCGACCATATTCTCAGGTTAACGCGATCCATTGTAACTTGATCCATTGTGACGACATTAACCCTCCCTCTGGCCTTCGCAGCTGATAGGTTCACAGTGATGACGTCACCTGTACTCCTCTATTCAAGACCGGAAACGGGAGGAAGACTTCATCACTCTTCTGGCTATCGCCTGACGAAGCTGGTTGTTGTTGTTGTTGTAATCACCAGCGACACGTCACGGCATTCAAATTGTAAACATCGTGGGTTCACTCGCCAGCGCATAACCGGTGTGCTGAAGTAGTAACTCATTGGCACGTTCTGTAATTGGCTGTGTCGGGTGGTGGCGGGTTTAACGACACGGTTGCATTTAGGCGATCTAACCCAAAACAGCAAACGGCGTTATTATGGATCCCACGCACGCATCTCCCCCCAACGCTTCTGCGCGCACCTTTAAGGCGTTTTCTGCGCATCCCACGACCTCAATGTCAATGAATCTGTCTCTCGACAAAGACAAAAACGAGCATCCCCACAATTCGCGTTGTGGGGATGTTGCGGTGCTGTGGATGAACGTGTCCCGCCGAGGGAATGTGGAATTACTGCTACTGCTGTTCTCTTTTTTTTTGCTGCTACTGTTATATACAGTATATTTTAAATGGATTTAACAGTAGAGTCGCGACCCTGGATTACGACAAATATTATAAGTTATTAATATTATAAGTTATTAATATTAGAAGTTATTAATATTAGAAATTATTAATATTAGAAGTTATTAATATTAGAGGTTATTACTTTGAGACGTTTTTTTTATATTCTAGTAAAGGAGCGGTGGCGCAGTGGTTAGCTCGCCTCCGCGGCCACGGCTAACGGCAGTGGCGAGTGATAGTCGAACCAATTGCCGGAGTTACACCCCCTTCACCCGACAAAGCACGCACCCGTGTGGCGAAGTATGGTCAAACAACGCTCACGATCAACACGGCATGGGAGGCCTTCATCCATCAGTGGATAGACCACGCGACACGAGCGCTATCGTGCACAGCATTCGGCACAGCGTACGTACGTTGCGTTCGTGAATGTATGTATATGTGTGGGGAGCGGTGGCGCAATGGTTAGCGCGCTGCGCTACGGACCCGACAGCCCAGAGTTCCACTTCAGCTCACGGCCATCGACACCAGTGGTAGCGATCCACTCAGCCTCAAACGAGTACCGTGTGCGATGTGTGTGAACATCGCCACCGGGGAGACAAAGGCGGCCGAGCGTGCTGCTGGCCACCCACCCCCTCGTGCGCCGTGCCGGCCTTCATAGGTGCTGCTCGTTAACAGCACTTGCCCCAAACGTCCATCAAGGCTACACGGGGGGTCTTTGCCTTTGCTGTATATTTCTGGGAGAGTGTCTATGTGCGTGCGATCTGTGTGCATGTGTGTGTATATATATACCTATGTGGATTTGTCTCTGTGTGTGTGTACACACACACACAGAGACAAATACAAGTTACCCCCGTTTAGCCTCAAAACTGTCGGGTTATGTGCTGTTAGCACGGCACACAAGGGGCGGGTGGCCTCCAACCACGCCCGGCCGCCTTTGTCTCCCCTGGGTGGCGACGTTTACTGCAACACCCCGCCAGGTACTCCTTTGATGCCGAGTCTACCTCGTGGGAGGCGCAGGACCGGTTTGGATAATCGTCGTCGGTGTTGGCCGTGAGCTGGGAATGGAACTCGCGAAACGCCGGAATCGTAGCTGCAGCGTAGCGCTCACCGCCTCCCGCTCAGTATACACACACAGAGACACACACAGAGACACACACAGACACACACACACAGAGACACACACAGAGACACACACAGAGACACACAGAGACACACACAGAGACACACACAGAGACACACACAGAGACACACACAGAGCGCGCCAAACACACACCCAAATCTACCGGAATGGAAAAGAACCCCCCCCACTCTCACACACACACAGAGAGACGTGAAGCCAAAGAGGGAGGGAGAGAGGAGGAGGAGGAATAACAAGAAAGGCCATGTGTAGTGTTTGACAGCGTTCGAGGGATCAGCCAATCGGCGTGCAGTCCCAAAGCGAGGCGATGCCCGCGTGTGCAGGCAACGCGCAGAGCGAGGGGTAGTGTGGGTGTGGGTGTCTCCGTACGGGCCATACGGGAGATACACACGGGGGAGATATACACACGGGGGAGATATACACACGGGGGAGATATACACGGGGGAGATATACACGGGGGAGATATACACGGGGGAGATACACACACGGGGGAGATACACACGGGGGAGATACACACGGGGGAGAGATACACACGGGGGAGATACACACGGGGGAGATACACACGGGGGAGATACACACGGGGGAGGTACCCAGAGGTACCCACACAGAGAGACGCCGCCGCAGAGGAGCGGTTCACTCGGAGACGCTGTGCAGGGTGGAGACTCCGAGAGGGAGCAGGGGCATCACGCACGAGGTAGTGCTACACGGGGGGGGGGGGGGGGGGTTAGAACGAATAGGAGCGTGGACAGGGAGACAGGGAGACTTCTGGCGGGGATCGAGAGGAGACACGTGGAGACACGTGGGGACACGTGGGGACACGCACGGGGACACATTGTATCCCCGAGTGCGGACTGTTGTATCGTCCCGTGGAGGCTGCGTGTGGATGCGAGATTGCAACTGCCAAGGTAAACGAGTTATATTTTATCTCTTTGCAAAGGCAAAAGTGGTGTTGTTGTTGTTGTTGTGCCCGGTAGAAGCGGTTGATTCTGTTGCGTCTGTTGTTGTTGTTGTAAGGTCTCTGTTTGCACGCTCGCGGCACTTGCCCCGACAGTGTGTTGGGGGGCTACTTCGGGGGGGGGGCCTTTGTCTTTGTGGGCGCATGGAGCGGTGGGCGTAGTGGTTAGCGCGTGCTGCGTTACGAACCTACCGACAGTCCGTTTCGATATTTGAACCGGTGCTGGGTCTCCCGCTGGGTCGACTCAGCCTTAATTGAGTACCCGGTGCGTTGCGTTAAGCATCGGGTCCGGGGTGGTGGGTGGGGGGGTAGACAAAGTCGGTCGGTTGCGGTGCTTGCCAAACTTCGTGTGCAGTGCCGACCTTCACAGGTGCTGCGACTCGCTAACAGCACTTGCCCCAACAGAGTGCTCAAGGCTACACGGGGGGGTGGATGAGTCCTCGGATCTCTCTCCGTGCGATACACCTCCCCCCCCTCCACAGTCTACGGGAATATTTTTTGCCGATTTGCACGCACAAAGCGCTTGGCTCAAACGAAGCACAACTAACGTCGCTGATCTCGTCAAGGAGTTATAAACCCACCGTCACGTGAGATCCAGAGGCAGCGGCTCGTGGCTGAACCGTCGAACAAAGACGGCGGTGGGCCACCGTATCGTCATCGTCGCAGCGGCGCTTTCAGATGCGCTTCTGCGGCCGTCTGGAACGTTCTCTTCCTTCCGATATTTGGGAAGCCACTAGAGCTACGCACTTTTAAATCTATGTTAAACATTAATTTCTTTCGAACGGCTTTTGTTGATGGTAGTTTCCTGTCCTTCCCCCGCACCTCCAATTAGCGCGGTTGCCTACGTACGGTGCGAAAGAAGCTCAACATACACACACATGTTTATAAGTGTGTCTGTGTGTTTGCAGTGTGTTGTATGCATTTGTGTCTCTGTCTGTGCGCAATGTGTACATGCACGCATGTATATGTAGGTGTGTGTGTGTCTTTGTACGTGTGTGTGTCTTTGTACGTGTGTGTCTTTGTACATGTGTGTATGTGTCTTTGTACGTGTGTGTGTATTTGTACGTGTGTGTCTTTGTACGTGTATATGTGTCTTTGTACGTGTGTGTATGTGTCTTTGTACGTGTGTGTATGTGCCTTTGTACGTGTGTGTGTATGTGTCTTTGTACATGTGTGTGTATGTGTATTTGTACGTGTGTGTGTATAAGTGTCTTTGTACGTGTGTGTGTATATGTGGCTATGTACGTGTGTATATATGTGTCTATGTACGTGTGTGTATATATGTGTCTTTATACGTGTGTGTATGTCTTTGTACGTGTGGGTGTATATGTGTCTATGTACGTGTGTGTGTATATGTGTCTATGTCCGTGTGTGTGTATATGTGTCTTTGTACGTGTGTGTGTCTTTGTAGGTGTTTGTATATGTGTCTATGTACGTGTGTGTGTATATATGTATCTATGAACGTGTATGTATCTATGTACGTGTGTGTGTGTACAGTATGTCTTTGTACGTGTGTGTGTCTTTGTACGTGTGTGTGTCTTTGTACGTGTGTGTATGTGTCTTTGTACGTGTGTGTCTTTGTACATGTGTGTATGTTTCTTTGGACGTGTGTGTATGTGTTTGTACGTGTGTGTGTGTGTGTGTCTTTGTACGTGTGTGTATATGTGTCTTTGTACGCGTGTGTGTCTTTGTACATGTGTGTGTGTCTTTGTACATGTGTGTGTCTTTGTACGTGTGTGTATGTGTCTTTGTACGTGTGTGTGTATGTGTCTTTGTACGTGTGTATATGTCTTTGTACGTGTGTATATGTGTCTTTGGACGTGTGTATTTATCGCTCGGCACTGATGTGGGCGTGTAGACCTTAATAGGTGCTCGCAAACAGCACTTGCCCCAACATCTTATATATATAAACGGTTACACGCGGTATGTGTCCTTATTTTGTTTACATATATACGTATGTGTGTACATATGAATGTTTGTCACTGTATGTAGGTCGACTCTGCCTCAAATGAGTAGCTGGTGCGGTGTGTCAACATCGCCACTGGGGAGACAAAGGCGGCCGGGCGTGGTGCTGGCCACCCACCCCCTCGTGTGCCGTGCCGGCCTTCTTAGATGCTGCTCGCGAACAGCACTTAGCCCCAACAGTCTGTGCGGCCGATCGGGGGGATTTGTATATTTGTCTAGGCATGCTGGTTGTGCAATCTCTTGAGATATTTGACCGTACGACAACAACCGCCTTTCGCCACTAAGTGGCGGTGACGTTACCACGACGCTTGTGCCAGGCTAGGTGCACCTTGAGGTGTATTTCAGCATAGCTATGTACACACACTGCACACGCATGACACACACCACACACGCGCGTGCACACACACACACTGCACACGCATGACACACAACACACACGCGCGTACGTACACACACACGCGTGTACACACACACACACGCGTGTGTACACACACACACACGCGTACGTACACACACACGCGTGTACACATACACACACGCGTGTACATGCGAGTCCTGTTACTATTGAATTAAGCGCTCGATGATGACCGCTCCGCTCGCTTCAGAACCTCGTAATTTGGGGGAGCGGTGGGCGCAGTGGTTAGCGCACTGCTCGCTTATGGAACCCGCGACTCTCCTTTTGGTTTGATTCCCGGCTAACGTCAGTGTCGCGCGATGTCCGTGCCGGTGTCGTGCCTTCTCTACATCGACTCGGCCCCGAATACGAGTGCCTGGCACGGTGCGTAAACACCACCTACACCGGGGAGACAAAGGCGGCTGGGCGTGGCGTTGACCACCGCAGACGCGGGCGCCGTGTTGGGAGTCTCCCACTAAGCGCTGCTCGCTCACGGCACTTGCCCCAACAGTCTGCCGAGGCTGATGTGGGTGACCTCTGTCTTTGTTTACATACGAGTACGCATGGCTAAGCGTGAGTCGGTCTCTCCCTGTTCGCCTACTCAAGCAGCCAGCGATTTGTGTGAATAACCGAGATTGCGTTTAGGAAATTTAAATTACGAAACTATATAAACGTTTAAGCTATTTAGTTTATTTTTTTTTGTTTAAACCAGGTAAGGCCCCACTGAGCTGCTCTTTTTCAGAAGAGACCTGGCCGTCACAAATGATCGCTCAACGAAGTGGGCTTATCATCATCATCATCATCACCACCACGTGGGAATGTCGAGCAGACAAATACTCTAAACGCGTGGTGTTGACTCTAAACGTGGAAGGGGGGAAAAGCCGAAAGACCCGGAGACAAATCCACGCGACCACGGGGAGAGAGAGAGAGAGACAGAGAGATCGGTGGAACCTCAAACTATACAGCAGGCGTCAGGGTCGGGATAGAAGCCACGCAAATCACCCAGTCAACAATCGTCGAAAACTCTGTAAAATGATGCGTTTATGGTTTGTGTTGTTTGTGTATTTGTGTACGTGTGTGTATGTCGATTCAAATGAGTGCTGTACCGAGTGCGGTGGCGTTAACATCACCACGAGGGAGACAAAGGCGGCCCAGCGTGGTGCCGGCCACTCGCCCTCTCGTGTGCCGTGCCAGCCTTCATAGAAGCTGCTTGCTAACAGCACTTGCCCCAACAGTCCGTTAAGGCTATACGGAAGATCTTTGTCTTTTTATGGATGTACGTATGTGCGTGCGCAAGTGCATTTTATGTACAGCATACTCGATGTATTACGTGTCTTATGTTTACGTTTATTATAATGATTGACGTTTTTTTTCTATGGCGCATTTCATCCGTAGATCCCAATACGCCAGTACGGATAATGAATGTAGGGTACGTTAGGTGTGTTTACACGTATCACGTGTTGTGTGCGTGTGTTTGTGTATCTGTGCGTGTGATGTTTTGTTGTGTGGGGAGCGGTAGTGTAGCGGGTAACGCGCTGCGTTACGAACCCGCCCATCCGGGTTCGATTCCCGCTCACGACCGACACCCGTGACGATTTTCTGAACCGGTTCTGGGCATCCCCTACGGCGACTCAGCCTCAAACGAATGCCTGATGCGGTGCGTAACAACATCACCAGTAGGGAGACAAAGGCGGCCGGGCGTGGTGCTGGCCACCCACCCCCTCGTGTGCCGTTCTGGCCTTCATAGGTGCTCGCTAAAAGCACTTGCCCCAACAGTCTGTTACAGGCTATACCGGGGTGTCTTTATCTTTCTATGTATTTGTACGTCTGTGTTCGTATTTACGTGGGGAGCTGTGGCGCAGTGGTTAACGACCATTCATTTTACACTTGGGGTTTATATTTGTCGAATTTGTCTATGAAATAAATGCACGTGATCCTTTTATTAATCCCTCCACGCGCCATTCCAAATCCTCACGACAGTCTCTGTATATTGTACGCATCGGTGCCGTGCTGCGTAATAATTACTGCCTCCTGGCCTCTGGACGGGTTTGAAAATCGACGACATCATCGGCATGGCCATCCTCGTCGTCATCGTCACCGGCTCGCGATCCTGCGATGTCACGATCTGTCCGGCAGCAGCTGCGCGCGAGAGGATTTCATCGCTCCACCTCCACGCGGGAGGAATTTTCCTCCTCCATACGGCGGTGGTGAGATGTTAACTGCCTCGCTTGGTATACAGGAGGTCGTGGGTTCGATCCCCACCCTTGACGCCTGCTGCTGTATACTTGGAGTTTGCGTGTCTCTCTGTCCCCGTGGTCGCGTGGATTTTTCTCCAGGTCCTCCGGTTTTTCCACCTCCACATTTAGAATCAACATCAACGCGTTTAGAGTATTTGACCGCTCTACATTGCCACGCGGCGATTAGCCACTTCGTTCAGATGTCATTTGTGGTCAGGTCGCTTCTGAAAAGAAGCACGTAGCTCAGTGGGCCTCGCCTGGTAAAATAAAATAAAAACAGGGATACTTGACTTTCGTCTTTGACTGCCACATCATTATTATTATTCTCGCCCAGCGTCCATCGTCGTCAATTAT